ATGCCCAGGTACACAATCCTCTGGAAGAGCCAGAGCACGGGCGTAACCAGAAGGATGAGGCACATGGCAGGCGACCGGAGGTAAGACAAAGCAGTCGAACCCCACGAGCACTGGCATCCTTCCCCTGTGGCCGCTGCTCCGGAACTCGGGCTCAGCTGCCAGGGTTTGAGCAGTGAGTTAAGTACATGGAATGACTTCTGTGATGTGTGTGGAATTTGGGCAATAATGCTGGGAGGAATTACTCTTTTCTTCCTTTTACGTGGGATTTTATCAAAGGACGCCGAAAATTATCCAGACACGTATCTACCCATCAAAAGGGCTTACCAGTTTGAGCTTCTCCAGGTACGAGTTGGTTCCGTCTGAGAGCTGGACGCCATTCTTCTGCGCTGCTTTTTCTAACACAGCGGCCGCGTCTGCCCCGAGGCCCTTCTGGATCAGCCAGCGGGGAGACTCGTCGATCAGCCTGGAAACCGTTGGTGTTTGCGATCATCAGACTTTGGTTACGTGTTCTTTTTCTTCATGTATCTCTCTATCTATATGTCTTTATTTCTATCTATTTCTCTTCTCTCCCTCTCCCTCCCTCTCCCTTTCCCTCTCACTCATACTCTCCCTCTCCCTCTCTCTTCTCTCTCTCTCTCTCTCTCTCTCTCTCTCTCTCTCTCTCTCCCTCTCTCTCTCTCCTCCCTCTCTCTCTCCCCTCTCCTTCTCCCTCTCTCCCTCTCTCCCTCTCCCTCCCCTCCCCCTCCCTCCCCTCCCTCCTTCCCTCCCTCCCCTCCTCCCTCCCTCCCTCCTCCCTCCTCCCTCCCTCCCTCCCTCCCTCCCTCCCTCCCTCTCAAACCTAAAAGAATATATTTTTCCAAGCACGAAAGAACCCTTCCATCCCCACTCACATGGTCATGGGCATCGCGAGCAGGAGAGGGATGTTGCAGACGAGCCAGAGGACCCTCCACGCCGTCACCACGTAGCCGAGCGCCCCGAAGGACGTCATGACCACGAAGAAGGCCACGGAGAGGAGCATCAAGGTGATGCCCCTGTAACGTGGCGGCGCCGTCTCGGCGGCTGGAGGAACGCAGGAGAGGGAGAAGAAATAAAAAAGAAAGACATTAGACAGACGGTGGGTGGAAAATTTAGACAAGATTAACTGGCGCAATGTGGAGGACACAGGGAAAAGGACACCAGCGCGGGCGTCCATCTCTCACCGAGGCTGTAGCACGGATAGAACAGGAAGATCACCGCGAATCCCGCCAGCATCTTCATGGCCAACATGACGCTGAACCAGGGCACCACAGTGATCCCGAGGCACGCGGGCACGGCCAGCAGGACGCCGATCCTGGATGTTAATTTCCGGCCGATCCTGGCAATGAGACGGACGGACGGATGAGACAGGATTTGCATTCGGTGTGTGTGTGTGTCTTGCACTGCAACCGAACCTCCCATTCATTAAAGATCAAAGTTCGAAGGGAAATGAAACGGCACAACGCTTAGTGGTCATGTCGAGGTCGTGGTCGTTTCCGTAATGCTAGCGAGTTAATGGCCTCATTGTGCGAAGGGTTTTTTCCGGGTTGAGTTATCAGTAGGTGTATGTATGAGGATTTGACTCGAGAAATGAATTATACTTCTAGTAGTTCTGAAAGTGATTTCGGCTTTGGTCTTGAGATTCCTTTAGACACCGACTCAAGAGAGGATTCGTGAACTTCAACTCGTCATGATAACGAGCCTAGACATAAATATTGATGGTTTCTAAAAAAACGCATCGTGCTATAGAAATGGGAAAGTTATAGCATTCTGTAAGCATCTACCGTGCTCATCCAAATAATATGTTTTGTTATTGTTATCGCTAAATGAAGGCCTACCGTCGGTGCCCTTCTCATTAGAGCTCTCCGGGCTTTGTGAGGCCGTACCTGTCGCTGAAGTAGCCCCCGGCGACGCTCCCGAGCAGAGACCCGATTGGGTACATCATCGGGAACAGCGTCCTCCAAGATGTCCTCTCGCAGATTAGGTGCCACTGAAGAGATCGCGAAGCAAGATTGAGTCTACTTAACATATATGTAACTATATGTACACACACACATAAATATAGAGAGAGAGAGATAGACAGACAGAGAGAGAAAGAGACAGACAGAGACAGAGAGAGATGTTCGAAACTCTCTTAAAGGAACTACAACAATATTTTGTTAAAACATGCTTTATGACCGCTTCTGTAAAACGCGAAGACCTTTGCAAAACAATTTTTTACTTCACATTTCACAACGAACATGCAGAGACACCTGGCTTAATCACCTCTGTAATTATAGTTGAGGTGAAAACGGAGGTGTCGTATTCAACCTCCGGACAGGACGGGATGCCAGTGGAGAGTCGGGTGAGGCTGACTTTGCTGACGGTCGCGTTGGCAGGCCGGAGGGCGGCGGAGAGGTTGGCAGGGTCGAGGCAGAGGCTTGGGAACTCGGCCAGGTCGACGGCAGGCAGATCCGTCTGGTACCCGCTCCCCTCGCTGGAAAGACGTTGGAAAAAAATGAATTTATTTATTATTTGGATTTAATTACTGCGTCGTTGGGTTAAAGCACGTTGTTGTGTATTCAAAAATGAATAGATAAGTAAGTGAAGACAATAAAGATATATATAAATTATAATATATAAAAGTGTATTTAATTATTGTGTTTGATTCCTAGGTGTTATTGGTCTAAAAGCACGTTTCTCTGAGTGTTCAGTGTCAATAAATAAATAAAAACAACAAATTGATATTTAATCTTTGCCTAGAATCTTTCCTAAAAAACATAAATAGATGAACAAAAAGGCGTCCATTTTCTGCCTAGAAGCTTCATCAAAAAATGAATAAACAAACGCAATGAAATAAAGTCATGAAAAGATAAATAAACATCGCCACGATTTTGCACCTAGAAGCTTCTCCTGCCCGGCAACAGATGGCGTGGATGAGAGAGCCCGTGGCGTGTCGGGAATAAGTGGCGAGTGAAGACGTGAGTCAGAACACTTTAAAACGACACAGCTCTTATTTATGGTGCCAAGCATGTGCATTTGGACAGATGCATATACATACATCTGTATCATGTTACATTCATGGATGGGTGTGTGGGTGTGGGTGCTTGTATGTATGTTGTATTTGTATCTGTGTAATGTGTGTATTTGTATATATATATGTGTGTGTGTGTGTGTGTGTGTATATATATATATATATATTATATATATATAATATATATATATATATATATATATATATAATATATTATATAAATATATATATATATATAATATATAATGTATGTATGTATATATATAACATATATAGTTTATGTTAAAATACAATAAATTTACTATATATGTGTGTGTGTTGTGTTTGTGAGTGTTTGTGTTTGCATACACGTGTGCACACTGTCGTTGGCGGCGAGGGCGGGCGAGGGTCGGGGCGAAGGCAACGGAAGAGTCCAACGGGCGAGCTCAGACAGTCAGTGGACCCAGCTTGGTGCAAGCGGCGATCACATGTCAGTGGACTGCAAACCAAAGGGCGTCTCTGTGAATCTTCTGACTCTTTCGCTTTTGGCTCTCTTTTTACGTTTCGCTCTTTCGCGCTCTCTCTCTCTGTTATTGTGTTCTTTTTTCTTTTTTTTTTCTTTTCTGTTTCTTTCCTTTCTCTATCATAATTTCTTTTCTTTCATTTGTCCTTTCTTAATCTGTCTTTATCTATACAAAATTTTATGAATTATAGAAATAGTCTAAATTCATTATTATAAAAAATTGACTCGAAATCATAAATGAAAATAGTCTGAGATACTGGACCATTTACGACAAAAGGATCTCAGACAGAAAAAAATGACACATATGGAAGCATAAAGCACCAATATGACAATATGCATAAATGATAATCAATAGGATAAACAGCCAAAAGAGATACAAACAATAAATGCATAAATTATGATAAACAAAGGGAAAAGCCAGATTGAATTAACATCAACAACAAGCATAACCAGTAACAACTACAATTGAACAAACAACAAAAATGCATAAATCGTAATTAAAAAAGGGATATCATTTAAACACTGACACAACCAAAAATAACCAAATCAGCAAACGAATGCAATGAAAATAAACAAAAAAAAAACCCCAGAGGCGAAACGGCGTCCACCTTCGCCCGGCAGACGACTTACTTGCCAGGCTGAGCACCACGATGGGCACCTGCCACCTGCCGTAGCCCACCTCCGCCAGCACCTCATCCAGATGGTCACTGCCCGCCATGGACGCCTGCCTCTGAGGAAGGCGCCAAAGAAAGAATAATAAGCGTTCCCTGATGGAGGCGATTCAGCGTCTAGTGAGTATTGGAGGACCATCGATGGGCGGGAATAAAATGGTGTAGGACCAATGGGGCGGCTGTTTTGGAAGTACGTTAGGAACGGCGTGGAAACGAAGTAAGGCGGGTAAGAGGGGAGTACAATGGCGGACGTTGGACTGGGCGGATAAGAAGGTGGGACCATGGGCGAGGCGTTGGGAACGTTAGGCGTGATAAGATGAGGTACCATGGCGGCCTGTAGACGAGGGCGGAGATAAGGATGGACTAATGGCGGCGTTGGAACGTGAGCGGATAAGATATGGACATTAAATGGGTCAGCGTATGAGTAACCGTGGACGAGATAAAAGAGTTGGGACATAGGGACGGCGTGAAGGACCAAGGCGGGATACAAAATGAGAGGACGCAATAGGGCATCACAGATTGACAGTCTGGGCGCGGATCTATCTCCACACGTGTGGACCTAGGCGGTCGTCTGGTCCACGTGGGCCGTTGGGTTCAATAAGTGCGTGGGACACCTTGCTGGCGGCGTTCGGCGCTCATCGTGGTGCTCGCCGGATAATGCGGTGGACCTATGGGTCCGGCGTTGGTCCACCTGCCTGGCGGGAATATACAGTTGGCGACTCCACTGCGCCGGCGTTGGGAACGTGTCGGCGGTGACTTATCAGTCCTTCCTCCCTTAATATAGTAGTAGGGACCAGGG